CTTAGAATGTTTGTTTGGAACGTTCACACCTCGTTAGAACGTTGGCACTTCGCATCATAAATGTTAAACCGCAAGGGAAGTAATTAACAAGTGCTTCCCTGTGTGGCAGCTGTTTGTATAGACGGATGGCGGCCAGGAGGAGCATTTGTGGCCCGAACGAAGACGCTTCCCTAGCATGGTTTCACCCAAGGATCCCACGAACAGAGCCAGTTACCATTCGGGGGGATTCCTGAGATTGGTGGGGCACTCTCCTGAGGACAATGGCAGTTTGGCGGGCTTTCTGGGCCTGGGAGCCCAGGAGGCGGGAATCTTTCCCGCGCTGGGACTCCCAAGTGCAGAGGGTACTGGGAAGAAGACCCCTTGGCACGGGAAGTGGCAAACCCTATATTTGGGTGGTGGGAACTGGGGATAAAGGGACTGGAGTTCCTGTCCCATGCACAGGCCCCTGGGAGGGGAAGGACCCAGGGAGGGGACACTGAGTGGCAGGAACCAGGGACAAAGAGACTGGGGTTCCGGTGTGCAACCCCTGGGAGGACGACGACTCTGGGAGGTGACATTGTTTTCATGTGTGTTTCACCCCTTGCATGAGAAAAATATATGCCGCCTGTGGCCCATAAAGTTGTTGTTGTACCCCTGGAACTGTGTGCCATCCAGTTACTGGGGTAAATGGGTCAATTCCTTCCTTACTAGCGGGGGTAACCACTGGTGGCAAGCGGCGGGATCCTACGTCACAGCCAAACCGACCTATGGACTATACATCCCTAGAACGCCCAACACTACGAGATCTGTGTGAAGCCAGAGGGATAACCCCTGGCCATCGTACCAAGGTGGAATTGACGGCTGCCCTCATGGATGATGACTACGCACGCAATAAGGCATATACCCCCCACCCAGGGCCGGAGAAGAAGATGAACTACATAAGGAGGTGGCCTGGCGCCTGGAATATTACAAAGAGCCACCCTCAGAGGAATCCATGAATAGGATTTTCTCTGAGGAACAAGTCTATGTCCTCGCATGGAAGAAGGAGGCGAACCCCCTACAAGCAGATGAACAACAGACTAGAGAGAGGTTCCAAGTTGCCCTCTGCTGCCTTTAAGGAATTCAAGGAGGCAGAAGAAGGCATTAATGACTTCCTGCAGGATTTCAAGCACCAGTGTTTTTTGCAGGAAGTTGCCCGCGGAGGCTGGCAGAGGCTTACCGCGGAGGCTGGCAGAGGCTTACCAGCGGACAAGATCTGGGAGTACGAATCAGTCAAAGAAGTCCTTCTATCGCAGTATGCTGTAACCCCAGAGGCGTACTGCAGGAAGCTCAGGGGGACCAAGAAAGGCGAGAAGGACTCCCATGCGGAGTGGGCATGCCGCATTATCCAAGCCACCCACAGCTGTCTGGCCTTGCACCAAGCCAAGAACCCCGAAAAGATTATCCAAGTGATCATGCTCGAGCACTTCAACAACAGGCTCACCACAGAGGTGCAGGAATGGGTGAGAGAACGGCAGCCCAAGACCGTGACCGAAGCAGCCAAGCGGGCTGACGAGTATGCGGATACTCGCCGGCCCCAATTCCCTGCTCTTTCTCCCAGCTACTGACCTTCCATCCGACCCCTGATACAGCCAAACCCCACTACCGCAGCTCCCCTTCGCGGCTTCCCAGTCTGGTCACCCCCCAGCGAACATTCCCCAGGGCAAAACGGCAATGTTTCCAGTGCCTCCAGGGGCTTGGGGACCCCTAGTCACCAGGGGTTATTTTTACACTTAGCCCCCACCCGTCGTCCATGGGTGAGGGCAGGGGAGAGGACAATAGGTCCCCCCTATTGTAATTTAGGGCCCCCACCTGCCGTTCATGGGTGGGGGCTGTGGGGAGGACAATAGGCCCCCCCCATTTTCATTTAGGGTCCCCACCCACCGCTCATGGATGGGGGAGATGCTCGGTCCCCCCTTCAGTTTAATAGCCCCCACTCACGCGGCACGGGTGTTTTGGTTTTTTTACAACAGTGAGCAGCCACAGGCTGCTTACTGTTTGATAGACATGCCCCTACTCTCGATATAGTGAGTAGGGGCAGGATTTACTAATGCCAAGTAATCTTTACCAAGATTGGTCTTTCAGCCTTTTGGTAAATAGCTCCCTGATACCGTGGGAATTAGGGAGTTATCTACTAAGCGACTGCAATATGCAGCTGCGGCACGAATAGGATCAAAGTTTAATTCATTTGAATAAAATTCCTATCCGAACAAATTCCCGAATTATGTCCCAACATGAATGGAGAATGTTCTCATTCTGTTAGGACGAAATTCGGTAGTTTCGCCGACATTCTGTCTAAAATGACAGAACGTTTAGGAATACTGATAAGAGGCATGGTGAGATCACGGAGGAAAGGTGAGAATTGTGGGGAAATAGTTTAGACCACAGGAAACGGAGCACACTTTGTTCCTCCGCTGGTCAAGCGTAGGAAACCTCCATAAGAGAAATAGTCACTACTTTTGTCTTTATATTTAAAGCAAACTATAGCAGACAGGAAGAAATTAAGAACAGATCCTGACAGAGGGAGAGAAGAGGAATCGATTATGGAAAGGTAAGTTCGGCATGACCGTGCCACTTTAAGAATGTCTGAACCTATATTTCATACCAATGTCCTCACAGCTTGGGGCAATTCTACAATCTCAGCATTCTTTAAGACACAGCTTTTGACTGTCCTAGCATCTCAGCATTCTATAACTCACAGCTTTGGTCAGTCCTAGAACCTCAGCATTTTATATATCACAGCTCTGGACCATCCTAGGGCCTCAGCATTTTATATCTCATAGCTCTGCGTGGTCCTAGATTGCCAGCATTCTATAACTCACAGCTCTATGTGGTCCTAGATTGCCAGCATTCTATAACTCACAGCTCTGCATGATCCTAGACTGTCAGCATTCTATAACTCACAGCTCTGTGTGGTCCTAGATTGCCAGCATTCTATAACTCACAGCTCTGCGTGATCCTAGACTGTCAGCATTCTATAACTCACAGCTCTGTGTGTATAGCGGATGGCACTGGACTGTCCTCCAGGATTGTGTTTAAAAGACTGTTCGTGTGTTTATTTTCCTGTATAATTGAAATTGTATGTGGAATTCGTATGTTTGTTCTGTAGTTTCCATTCGTATTTCAAATGAATGAAAACTACCGAATCAATAGACCACCCCAGAGAGAAGTGTGTACCTTATTAAGGCTTTAACACTTCTCTAACCACAGTTAATCTGTGTTTTATTGCTATATCTGGGTGGCCGCCATTCGGTAAGCGAACACGTGGCGGCGGCCATCTTATGCATGAACTCTCAGCGGTGTTTGGTCATCGAGTGTCTGGAACTCAAATCTGACACTCGATAACCCGAACACCGCTGAGACCTCCAGAGTTACAAAACTCCCGAACGGAGGGGCCAATTAGCCCCTCGTTCGGTGAATTCAACCTACCGAACAAGTGGATTCATGTGAAGGCATTATTAGCAATGGATGGCAAAGATTTGTGAATGTTTTACCTCCCGAATGTAGACCTCCCGCAGTGCCAAAACACATGGAACCCTTTTTGGCTACCACCTTGTGTGCGGTCGGTCAAATAGTTTATTCCCCATAACTCCCAAACCCCTGCTCTGATCTGGGTGAATTTTGAGTATGTTGGTCACCCAGATCAGGGCTACCAGGGGATGTCACTTAGATCCATATACCCCACCGTTTTGGGGTACATCCAGAAAACAGGGAAGACTGTAACAGAAATAAGTGGATTAAGTGTCACACTGAGGGGAGGGGATGTATGGGAGGGAACTACTGTACCATTGGTTATTGTCCTAATTATTGTAAATCCCTCCCTTGCATGGGAGAAACCTTTATAAGGAAATGCTGTGATTAAAAGTTCAGTTCTGCTCCTTATGCGGTGTGTCGTCCAGTCATTGAGATTGAGATATTGTTGGAGTATTTTGCCTGCTGGAAATATTACCCTGTGGATTTATAATACTTGTTCCTGAGCCTTACTGGGATCTAAAGTGGAGATAGGCTGTGTATTCTGTAACTCCCAGCTTTGCGTGATCCTAGACTCTCAGCATTCTATAACTCACAGCTCTGCGTGGACCTAGACTCCCAGCATTATATAACTCACAGCTTTGCGTGATCCTAGACTCTCAGCATTCTATAACTCAAAGCTCTGTGTGGTCCTAGACTCTCAGCATTATGTAACTCACAGCTCTGTGTGGTCCTAGACTCCCAGCATTTTATAACTCACAGCTCTGTGTGACTCTCAGCATTGTATAACCCTGTAACACTGACAGCTCATACTGGTCTTAGAATCCACATTCTAGAGCAAGAGTAGTCAATCTTTGGTAGCCCAGATTTTGTGGACAACATTTCCCCTGAAGCTTTTGCCAGCATTATAGCTGTAATAGCATAATGGGAGATGTAGTCCACCACATCTAGAGTGCCAAATGTTGCATGCCCCTGTTATACAACATTAACAACTACACAGCTTACCAGTATAATGGTGCCGACTGCTAAATAGCTCCTGAAGGTCTTCCACATGAAGTACACGAACAATTAAGTACATGCCAAAGAAAAATTGTCAACGTTAGATCCAATATAAAAACAGAATTGTTGGAATCTCTTAAATCAGAAAACAAACATTCTGCTGGAACACCTTTTTTATTGGAGTCCTCATAGCACCACATCACACTTTGTGGTTTTTAAAAAAATATAATTATATATTATATATATATACACATACACACACACACACACAGAAATATACACAAAACAAAAGCAATATAGGGTGTGCCAAGCTATGTGTTTGTACACATCTGTGCCAAGAACCCTCACGTTGAAAACCAATAAAAAGAGACTTTATTCTTGCAGTAAGAGGTGCCTGGTGCCTCGAGCCAAAAATCACATCTTTTTTTTTTACGACTTCTACAATGTTTTGTATGTTGAATGCAGATCACCACCACTGCATATTCTATTTATTAAGGTCTATAAGCTGTAATTCAGTCATTGCCTCTTTTGTGTATTAGTTCATGTTTGATGAGCTTCGACCGATCAATGAACCTCTTGCCACAGACTGTACACCCAAAAGGTCGTTCTCCAGTGTGAATTTTTTCATGTCTCTGAACGTGTGCGAGTTGAGTAAACTTCTTCCCACAGTACGAGCAGGAGAAAGGTTTCTCCCCAGTGTGGATTCTCAAGTGGTGTCTGTATGTGGATCGATCACTGAAGCTTTTGCCACAATCATCGCATTGGTAGGGTCTCTCATCAGTATGTGTTCTCTGATGGACAACAACAGATGATGGCTGGCTAAATCTCTTCCCACATTCTAAACACGCATAGGGTTTTTCTTTTGTGTGTGATCGCATGTGACTTTTAAGACTGTTATTGTCTCTGAATTTTTTCCCACACTCTTGACAAGAGAAGGGTTTCTCACCCGTGTGAATGCTTTGGTGCTGAAGAAGGGTGAAATGACGGGTAAAGATTTTTCCACACTCTTTGCATTTGTAGGGTTCTTTAACTAAAAAGCCTTTCCTACGCTTTTTTACACGTAAAACACCTTTGGTTTCTGGTATGATAGTATTTTTTTTGTTATTTTTATCTAAGCATTTTCCACATTTGATGCACACACAAGAATTATCTCCAGAATGTTCAGTAGGTGAATCTGGCCCGTGTTTGACAACTTCTTTCTTTTTTTGATCAAACCTTTGATTTGGCTTACATGGACTTGTGTCACCTGTCTCCTCGTTATTAAATTCCACAATGCGTTTTTTAGCTTTCCTTATGCTGGTCTTAACTTCCTGCGGCGTTGCTGCTATGAGTGGGTCAGCAACACTGCTAGGGAGACTTTTTGAGTTTTTCATTTTATTTTTTGGTGCTGCAGGGCTGTCACTGAACAGTTTATTATTAACTTGTGGGTCTGGATTTTTCTGGTCACCTGTCTCATTCTTGGAACATCCCAAACAGTTAATGCACATGGCTGCTTTATCCGTGATGTGGAGATTTTGTGACTCTGATTGTTTTGCATGTTTTTCAACCGTTGTAACTGGACTGGTATCCACAATATGATGTTCTCCACCACTGATGCGGACATTAGTCTGATCTTTACTTCCAATGGGGATATTCTGAGGACTGGCCTTGACACCTGTAGATTCAGGAGCTTTGGCTTTCTCAGGATTACGGTTTGGGCTGCAGCCTTGATGTTCTGGTTTCATTGCACAACTATATAAACAATCAAATCCTTCTTTCGATTTGCTCCAGGCTTCACTCTCCACCGTCAATCTGGGGGGGCTTTTAGGCTTTGCACAGAAGGTCAGTTTTCCACATTTGCTGCTTGAAAACCATTTCTTTCTCTCATGGCTGGCCAGGGCCGGGGTTTCCTTCTCAATAAGATGATGGAAACCAACTTCCTGTGTTTTGGTTTCCAGTTTGACTGTGCTGGAAGCGCCTGACTGTCCCCTCACATCATTATATGTCATTTTATGTGATGATTTCTTCTTATTCTTAGCATTGAAACAGCGGTTAGAGTTTTGTTTAACCACAGATTTGGCTGGACTGGGATCCTCTTTGTTTAAGTGCCTGGTGTTGATTGTAGGTGAGCTAGGAAATGGCTTGGTATTGGTTTTCCTACCAACATTATCCACGGAAGGAAGTTTCCCATTTTTGTGTTTTTGGAGGATTCCACTAGAAGTAGCCCTACTAGCCTGCTTGGTAGTCTCAGTCTCTACCTTGCTAGCATGCTTAGCCTCGGTCTTGCTAGTCATAGTTGGAGAGACAGGCACTTTGTTGCTATTCCAGATGGCAGGGCTGGGGGTGCGCTCAGTCAGCGCCTTGCCAGGGCTGGGGGTGCGCTCAGTCAGCGCCTTGCCAGAGCTGGGGGTGCGCTCAGCCTGCGTCTTGCCAGGGCTGGGGGTGCGCTCAGTCAGCGCCTTGCCAGGGCTGGGGGTGCGCTCAGTCAGCGCCTTGCCAGGGCTGGGGGTGCGCTCAGCCTGCGCCTTGCCAGGGCTGGGGGTGCGCTCAGTCAGCGCCTTGCCAGGGCTGGGGGTGCGCTCAGTCAGCGCCTTGCCAGGGCTGGGGGTGCGCTCAGTCAGCCAGGGCTGAGGGAGTGCGCTCAATCCAGCGCATTACCAGGGCTTGAGAAGTGCGCTCAGCCCCTGCTGCCCACCAGAGCTGGGAATACTTTGCGCTCAGCCTACGCCTGCACCAGAGCTGGGGGAGTGCAGCTCAGCCTAAGCCTTGCCAGAGCTGAAGTGCGCTCAGCCTGCGCCTTGCCAAACTGGGAGTGCGCTCAGCCTGGCCTTACCCCAGGCAGGAGTGCGCTCAGCCTGCGCCTTGCCAGAGCTGAGAAGTGCGCTCAGCCTGCGCCTTGCCAGAGCTGGGAGTGCAGCTCAGCCTGCTTGCAAGCTGGGGAGTGCGCTCAGCCTGCATACCAAACTGAGGTGGCTCAGCCTGCGCACACCAAGCTGAAGTGCGCTCAGCCTGCGCCTTGCCAGAGCTGGGGGTGCGCTCAGCCTGCGCCTTGCCAGAGCTGGGGGTGCTCTCAGCCTGCTCCTTGCCAGGGCTGAGGGTGCACTCAGCCTGCGCCTTGCCAGGGCTGAGGGTGCACTCAGCTGGTGCCTTGCCAGGGCTGAGGGTGCACTCAGCTGGTGCCTTGCCAGGGCTGAGGGTGCACTCAGCTGGTGCCTTGCCAGGGCTGAGGGTGCACTCAGCTGGTGCCTTGCCAGGGCTGAGGGTGCACTCAGCTGGTGCCTTGCCAGGGCTGAGGGTGCACTCAGCTGGTGCCTTGCCAGGGCTGAGGGTGCAGTCAGCTGGTGCCTTGCCAGGGCTGAGGGTGCAGTCAGCTGGTGCTTTGCCAGGGCTGAGGGTGCACTCAGACTGTGCCTTACTCACCCATGTTTCAAGTTTGTCAATATTTGCATTCTCAGTGCCCACTATGCTAGTATTATTTGCAGACTCAATCACCCCTTTGTTAGCCCCTTTTGTGTGCTTTGTTTCTGTCTTAGTATACGTTTTGGCAGACTCAGTCTCCCCCTTGCTATTCTTCTTGGCATGCTCAGTCCCTGGCCTGATAACCCTGTGTGTGCCCTTGCTAGTGCCGGCCGTGCGCTCAGTCGCCCCCTTGCTAGCCCCAGCCGTGCACTCAGTCGCCCCCTTGCTAGCCCCAGCCGTGCGCTCAGTCACCCCCTTGCTAGCGCCAGCCGTGTGCTCAGTCGCCCCCTTGCTAGCGCCAGCCGTGCGCTCAGTCGCCCCCTTGCTAGCTTGGTTTGCTTCCTCTCTCTCTTTCCTGTTTGCAGGCTCACTATCTGCCTTGTAATCCCGGACTGCATGCTCACGGTCCCTCTTGCTAGCTCGCATTTGATTATTACTGTCTTGCTAACCCCGCATACTTGCTCAGCTCCAGTCTTGCTAGCACACTCACTGACCAGAACGCTTACTTCCTCTGTAGGAGGAGTCACTGCCATGCTTGTCGGAGAAGCACATTCAGTTTCTGCTGTTCTTGATACCAGCTCGGTTACATTACAAACCTGCTCCAGCGACAGAGGCTGCGTTATAGGTTTGTTGTGCTCTTCCTTATGTTTAAATGGACAAAATTCATGTCTGGATCTCTCACTTGAGTTCTGCTCGTACGTTTCATTTGCTTTAACAAGACTCACAGAGATCTTGGTTCTTTTCTGTAGACTGTGACTTTCCTGGGTTTCAGTATGGATACCTGCATTCCTCTTCCTCAGGTATGGGGTATTGTCAGTGAGAACCTGAGAGGGACTTGATCTTTGAGACCGTGTAAACATATCTTCCTGCGCTGGGCTTTGCATGGCTCTCATTTTTCTGGGTTCTGTATTTGAGGAATGTTGCTGCACACTTCTACTTCGGAGAACAAGTCCCATTTCATCCTCCATAGACAGTCTTTTATCTCTGCGTGGTTCAATAATAAACATGGTGACAACCTCATTAAAGCGAACATGTCTCTCCACACGCAGTTTCTTGTCCTTTTTAATAGTGGCAGATCTGATTCCTTTTACCTTACTTTGCTTTTTAATCCGTGGCAGAGAGATGTCCAGGTCCTGTGCAGATTCACACAGAGGGGTTTTCCCTTCTGGATTAAAAAGCGGGCAGTTTATTTTAGCCTCCTTGTGTTGTGCCAGACTATCCTCTGCAATTTTCAATGGGTCTTCCTCCCAATGTGATTTAAAGTCATGGTTAGCTTGCAATCGTGGGACTGAATCTTTATTCTGGGAAACTCGTGTATCTTCCACTTGTTTTCCAGTCTCTCCAGAGAGACCGGACGTATCAGCACCTTCTTTCTGAGTGGATAACACGTTGAGGTTTGTGGTCTGGACAGTTTCCTTGTCTTTATAATGCATATCCTGCATTTCACCCAGGTCATCTTGGGCCAAGCCTGTCTGGGGCACAGTCTCCTCAGATGGACAAATGTTTAGACTGGGAGTCAGTGTGATCGATTGCTCAGTCTGATCAGAGGACTGTGATGGTTTCTCAGGAACATTACTGGTGGTCTCATGGTCTAAGGTTTGTTCGTCAGTAAAATCAGCACCAGAAACTTTAGATACCTCCTTTCCATCCTCAGTATTAAAGGCCGTGTCAGATCGGTTTACCCTGGACCTGCTTAGATCTCTCCGCGATCGTCTCCTCATACTTTTCGTTTTCTTCTCTCTCTTTAACCACCGTAATGGGTTTACTCTTGGATATCGGCTTTGTCTCTGCTTTGTTCTGTTGGGGGTATCTTCCACGGTGGTTTGATGAAGTAGGTCTCCTGGCACGCATGTGAGCTCTACTTCCTGCTGGTTATTGTACTGTGCACCTGTGGTTAGAAGGAGAAAGTCTGAGATTACAACAGATTCTGTCTCTTAGAAACACAGATGACTTTTAGCAATATGAGCACATTCCTGGGAGATTTATTAAGGTGAGAGTTCAAAGTAAATTTCGAAATTATGGTCAAAAAAGCTGAATTGGACAAATTTCAAGGTTCGCTTTGCTTTCAGATGGCCTACTCAGTCCTGAAATTCTCCCTTCCATAAATAACCCAGAAAATGTACGGTTATATCATAGAAAAAGGCCTTCCCATACATCAGCTTAAAGCAATATCAAACAAAAACCAACCATTTCATCTAAGCAAGCTATTGGACATATTGCTCGGACGTAGCGCCTTTCAAGGGCACTGCATCATGACTTTTCAATTACACTGACAATTTCTTTTTTAGAAATAATACATTAACAAAGTGTTGTTAATGGGAATTTTAACCCTTCCCACTCTGTGCTCCATCACTCGGGTGTAATGTTTCTCCAATGTGGCCGCTCAATTTAATCCACTACTGAGCTACAGACAGCAGACAGGTAGCGAGACCCTTACACTGTGACTTCCAATGCTGGCAGTGTACATCATGGATAAGGATGGCTAAGGAGGTCACTGCGCTGCATTCTGCAAAGCATCTTTTTTTTTCCTTGCAAGAACTAAAAGATTTGAGCATGGAAAAATAAAGTATATTACAAAGGTCCAACTCAAATGCACTATAGCAGTGTTGGGCTCCACAATAAAAATAATCAAACAATATCCACACTTTTCCACACTGAATGCCATCACCGGGGCTACTGATATAAGGCTCATGGTCCCAGGTCAGATATCGGGATGAAATCAGATTCAACGTGAAGCTTACCCTGCCAGTCACACTGAATGCCATCACCGGGGCTACTGATATAAGGCTCATGGTCCCAGGTCAGATATCGGGATGAAATCAGATTCAATGTGAAGCTTACCCTGCCAGTCACACTGAATGCCATCACCGGGGCTACTGATATAAGGCTCAAGGTCCCAGGTCAGATATCGGGATAAAATCAGATTCAATGTGAAGCTTACCCTGCCAATCACACTGAATGCCATCACCGGGGCTACTGATATAAGGCTCATGGTCCCAGGTCAGATATCGGGATGAAATCAGATTCAATGTGAAGCTTACCCTGCCAGTCACACTGAATGCCATCACCGGGGCTACTGATATAAGGCTCATGGTCCCAGGTTAGATATCGGGATGAAATCAGATTCAATGTGAAGCTTACCCTGCCAATCACACTGAATGCCATCACCGGGGCTACTGATATAAGGCTCATGGTCCCAGGTCAGATATCGGGATGAAATCAGATTCAATGTGAAGCTTACCCTGCCAGTCACACTGAATGCCATCACCGGGGCTACTGATATAAGGCTCATGGTCCCAGGTCAGATATCGGGATGAAATCAGATTCAATGTGAAGCTTACCCTGCCAATCACACTGAATGCCATCACCGGGGCTACTGATATAAGGCTCATGGTCCCAGGTCAGATATCGGGATGAAATCAGATTCAATGTGAAGCTTACCCTGCCAGTCACACTGAATGCCATCACCGGGGCTACTGATATAAGGCTCATGGTCCCAGGTCAGATATCGGGATGAAATCAGATTCAATGTGAAGCTTACCCTGCCAGTCACACTGAATGCCATCACCGGGGCTACTGATATAAGGCTCAAGGTCCCAGGTCAGATATCGGGATAAAATCAGATTCAATGTGAAGCTTACCCTGCCAATCACACTGAATGCCATCACCGGGGCTACTGATATAAGGCTCATGGTCCCAGGTCAGATATCGGGATGAAATCAGATTCAATGTGAAGCTTACCCTGCCAGTCACACTGAATGCCATCACCGGGGCTACTGATATAAGGCTCATGGTCCCAGGTCAGATATCGGGATGAAATCAGATTCAATGTGAAGCTTACCCTGCCAATCACACTGAATGCCATCACCGGGGCTACTGATATAAGGCTCATGGTCCCAGGTCAGATATCGGGATGAAATCAGATTCAATGTGAAGCTTACCCTGCCAGTCACACTCCAGGTCATCACCGGGGCTACTGATATAAGGCTCGTGTCCCAGGTCAGATATCGGGATGAATTTAGATTCAATGTGAAGCTTACCCTGCCAGTCACACTGAATGCCATCACCGTGGCTACTGATATAAGGCTCATGGTCCCAGGTCAGATATCGGGATGAATTTAGATTCAATGTGAAGCTTACCCTGCCAGTCACACTCCAGGTCATCACCGGGGCTACTGATATAAGGCTCGTGTCCCAGTTCAATACTAGATATAATGTCCGGACGGCCTGTACAGGAAAAGAAGGTTTCAGTTAGAGCTGAGAAACAAATGGATTTGACTTTTAGCTTTATTAACAAATTATTTAGATACGAACAGAGAGGGTTTAATGGACAACATTTACATAGAGACATGAGGAATAAGATATAATGTGAAAGTGGACAGGACAACCAATAGTCACATGGGAAGATGGCACGATCTATAGCTAGGGAGGGAAGTGACGAGATCTCTGAAAGGTCAGATCAGAACCTAGTGCCAGAGATGGGATCACAGACAAGTCAGAAAGACAACTTGAACTTTACAAATTACTTTTTATTTTATTTTTTTATTCAAAAAGATAATATTTACATTAAAGGGATACTAGTCACCACAACAACTTTAGTTTAATGAAGCAGTTTTGGTGTATAGATAACATCCCTGCAGTCTGACTGCTCAATTATCTGACATTTAGTAGTTAAATCACTTTTGTTACTGTTTAAGTAGCTCTAGCCATACAGCCTGCATGAAAACAAAAATGGTTTTCTTTTCAATCAGATGTTAACTTGCTTTAGAAGTTTGTATCTCCTGCTCTGTAAATTAAACTTTAATCACACACAGGAAACTGCTGCAGGGTCTAGAAGGCTATCAACAGAGCAGGAGATAATAAATTCTAAATTAAACAGAATGTGCAATAAAGGAAGTGTAAACATTAGATCTCTCTTCACAGGAAGTGTTTAGGAAAGCTGTGTAAGTCACTTGTAGGAAGGTGTGACTAGAGCTGTAAAAACAAAGGGATTTAAATGAACTCGGTGAGTCCCACTGAGATAAGCACGACTGCTGTGTGTAGACACCGGTGGCTGCCCGGTGGATGTCCCAGGTATGATGCCAAACCAATTACCCAAGTAGGGTGACAGGGAATTTCTGGCACTATAGTAACTACAACAGACTGCAGTTGTTTTGGTGCTTGGAGTGTTCACATATGAAATGTTGAGAAGTCTACAGTGCTCCTACCATTAAACATTTATTAATAATGGGATTGTTTAGGATTTCTATAATTATGTTTTTTGTAAAGCGTTAAAAAGACTTGTTCATGCTTCTCGGACACAAAGCACACAGACCAACGTGTGTTCACACATTACAAAGAGTAATCTGCCTACAAGCGCACATACAGCTAAAACAGCAAGCTGTCCCAGTACACGCGATCCTTACTGAGAGACAGGATCATCTGATAATTCTCCTTCATCACGTCTTTGTAAAGCGATTTCTGTGTCCCATCCAGATAACCCCATTCGTCCTTCGTGAAATACACCGCGACATCATCGAAGGTGACAAGCGCCTGGAACAGAAAGTACGTAATATAGAACTCGTCTCGCAACAACGGGGACATCCAGCCGGCAAACGCAGCAATCAAACACTTCCTTATCATTTAACGTTACCGAGTTACCACGGCAACAATGAAAAAAATAAATATTTATATAGTTTGAGCATTATTTTTCCATAAAACCTAGGGTGTCAGCTCTGTGGGTTAGTGATTACCTGTGCCTGGATTAGAGAGTCAGCTCTGTGGGTCAGTGATTACCTGCGCTGTCTGGGAGCTGCTGACCGGAGACATGGCTTGATTAGAGTGCCAGCTCTGTGGGTCAGGGGTTAGAGTGCCAGCTCTGTGGGTCAGGGGTTACCTGCGCTGTCTGGGAGCTGCTGACCGGAGACATGGCTTGATTAGAGTGCCAGCTCTGTGGGTCAAGGGTTAGAGTGCCAGCTCTGTGGTTCAGGGGTTAGAGTGCCAGCTCTGTGGTTCAGGGGTTAGAGAGTCAGCTCTGTGGTTCAGGGGTTAGAGAGTCAGCTCTGTGGGTCAGTGATTACCTGCGCTGTCTGGGAGCTGCTGACCGGAGACATGGCTTGATTAGAGTGCCAGCTCTGTGGGTCAGGGGGTTAGAGTGCCAGCTCTGTGGGTCAGAGTGCCAGCTCTGTGGGTCAGGGGGTTAGAGTGCCAGCTCTGTGGGTCAGGGGTTGGAGTGCCAGCTCTGTGGGTCAGGGGGTTAGGTGCCAGCTCTGTGGGTCAGGGGTTGGGGGTGCCAGCTCTGTGGGTCAGGGGGTTAGAGTGCCAGCTCTGTGGGTCAGGGGTTAGAGTGCTGCCAGCTCTGTGGGTCAGGGGTTAGAGTGCCAGCTCTGTGGGTCAGGGGTTAGAGTGCAGCTCTGTGGGTCAGGGGTTGGGGAGTGCCAGCTCTGTGGGTCAGAAGAGTTGGGGGTGCCAGCTCTGTGGGTCAGGGGTTAGGTGCCAGCTCTGTGGGTCGGGGGTTGGGGTGCTGCCATAGCTCTGTGGGTCAGGGGGTTAGAGTGCCAGCTCTGTGGGTCAGGGGGTTAGAGTGCCAGCTCTGTGGGTCAGGGGTTAGAGTGCCAGCTCTGTGGGTCAGGGGTTAGAGTGCCAGCTCTGTGGGTCAGGGGTTAGAGTGCCAGCTCTGTGGGTCAGGGGTTAGAGTGCCAGCTCTGTGGGTCAGTGGTTAGAGTGCCAGCTCTGTGGGTCAGGGGTTAGAGTGCCAGCTCTGTGGGTCAGGGGTTAGAGTGCCAGCTCTGTGGGTCAGGGGTTAGAGAGTCAGCTCTGTGGGTCAGGGGTTAGAGAGTCAGCTCTGTGGGTCAGTGATTACCTGCGCTGTCTGGGAGCTGCTGACCGGAGACATGGCTGGATTAGAGTGCCAGCTCTGCGGGTCAGGGGGTTAGAGTGCCAGCTCTGTGGGTCAGGGGGTTAGAGTGCCAGCTCTGTGGGTCAGGGGGTTAGAGTGCCAGCTCTGTGGGTCAGGGGGTTAGAG